AGCCTCCTTAATCCTTTAGTAATTAATATTATAACAATAAATATTCATTTAATGCAGGCTATCTCTGTAATCCTTCATTAATTAACAGTTGAAGGTGAACTGAACAAACAAAGAGTGGACTGAACGCTAAACGAAGCCGTTTTTTGTTTTGTTTTTCACATTTACGTCTTTTCCACTCTGCCTCTGTTGCTCTGTTGCTATCTGCATGCTGTTATTAGGGGGCCGTATTAAAGCGCTCTGAGGGGAATTGATTTCTGCTCTATTCATCTCCTCTGTCTGCTGCTACACAAAGGCATCAAGGGTGATGTCATTCCAGGACAAAGCGTTTCTGCGGGCTGAACTCACCAGCGATTAGGGGGATGGAAAGTGTGTGTGCAGCCATGTGTGCATGTGCGTGTGTGTGTTTCACAGAGTGGGTCTGATTCCCCGCCTCCATCACAATGGTGGCTTTAAACTTCTTAATTAGACACACGTGCCAGTAGCTTGGGCCCCGCTGGGAGCGCTCCGGTGGACGAGGAGCAGCAGGCTCAGTCTGGTTGAACTGCAGCCCAGCACTGATCTGAGCCCGGGGCAAGAGAGAGGCAGAGACACTGTGATACAACTACACACCCACAGCAGCTCTGTGAGAAAGTGGAATAAAGAGAGGATGTGTACAGTGTGATTGCATACAGTTGTATTCATTTGGTTGATATTTGGTTCTGGTCAAATTTTTCTTTTAGTTGATTCTCTAAGTGAAAATAAGTACACATCCTCTACACAGAACACACGTCTACACATTTAAATGCACATCTACTGATTATTTGCTGCACATTTCACACATTGGAAAAAACTACCCTGTAAAATTGTGCCTGTGCAAAAGTTATGGCACATTTTCATTTTATTTTTAAAATATGTTAAACTCAGAAAATAATTACAATTTATACAGTAAAAGTTGCAGAAAAACATTTATTCACTGTATAGGAACCCCACTTCAGTTTCCACCGTGTTCCGTGTGGTATGAACATTTAGAAACAGGCATCATTTGTCAAACAGTTGACATAACATCTATGTCAGGTGACATTACGTTGTTGTGATACATATAGTATATATATGGTTGCCATGACATAAAAATAATAGCAACTCAAAAGTTACTTCTATGCAGTGACCCAAATGTCTCTATTTTAACCCTAAATATTGAGTTATCACATATATACACGTGTAAATACTAACTTTTATATAACCAACTGTCATAAATGACACCATAAGCTTGTATCAGCTCATGACCTTCAACTCCCTTAACTCTCTCCAGTGTTGGAGAGCCAAACTGATAATGGCTCTTGTCTTTCTTGTCTGTCATTCTTGTCTTTTTTCTTTTCTTTCTGCTATTTTATTGAAAATTTATGTCCTCCCAACTTTCTTTACTCGGTTTTTTTGGCAGTGTAAGTCATTGTGGCTAGTTGTGGAATATGCAGTTTTGGTGTTATTTCTTTGCCATTATTTCTTAGAATTGTGACTCCTCACAACTCAGGGGAGACAATCAATTTTCTGTGGGGCTCCACAAATGTGTTTTTTTTTTTCATTAATTTCAGTGAGCAACAAGGGATGAATTATTTAAACAAAGTGGCAGTATGATTTTTCATCTTTTGATAACTGCAATTTCTAAGGGTTCAGTCTATTGTAGGTTGCTGTTACATATAAATGACTACAGTGAATTTTTCCTTGCCACTTCCATGGCTTGCTCTTTGACAATATCTATGGAAAAATATATACAAATAGAGTTGGACTGAATGTCCATTGGCAGTCACCACAGTTCAGCAAACAAATCAGGAAGATCCTTCCAACAGAAATGGTGGACAATCAGAAGCCCAGAGGCTAAATCATGCACAGATCCATTATGTGTTTAACCTTATCTTGGGTCAGCATGTTGTGTTTTGTGTCCCGCCACCCATTTTTTAGCCTATTGTAAGACATGGGAATAACTATAATCCTCACAGTGACGTGTGTTGTCTCAGTGTTTATGTAGGTCAGGGCAAGGCCTCGTTTCTCCTGCGTGGCCAGCCTGCAGTCACACTACCTCACTTACTACCGCACTGGGTCACTAAGGCATCACTGTTTAATGATCTTCGTCAATCCGCTGTAGTCACACAGTCACTTTTAACACTCTATACATCACTATAGGGTTGACTGCCTGATGCTTTTTGACACGAAGGTCGCCCTGTGAGGAGATTGATCTGGACAAATTGGTATATAGAGTTAGACTGGAAGTTGGGGGTTGGCTCACAATTGGCCTTTGGTTGCTCTGGTCAAGGCAAGTTAAAATCCACAAGATGCTAATAGGCTGCCATGGAACAGTGGAAGAGGTCAGTTTCATGTGCATGTTTAGATTCACCTTACTTTTTGTGGTCCACATGCGCAGATAATTCAGTCTAGCCTATTTGATATAGAAGATAAAGTGGAAGGTAGACAGTGGTTGTATAATCAAGACAAAAACTCTATCTATAAATGCTATTTCAGCCTTTTCAGCCTTGCTTGTCACCAGAGAGTGATTTCTGTCACTGTGAATTCATCACATTTACACTCTCATGCAGGAGTTTGAACACCCCTGGTAAAATGACATGATTTGTTGATTTTCTTGGTGAAAGTAGGTAAGCTCGGTTTCTACATTCTGCAAACTTTCTATTTACTTGTTGAGTTTAACATATTGAAAAAAAAAAACACAAAATATATGTTGGATAACTTTTGCACTGCCACATTTTGTGTTTTTGTTAATTTCAGCAAATAAACAGTAATTGTGCATTAAAATGTATAGTGAGTTAATGAGTTAAAAGGAACTTTGCCGAAGTATCAGGACGTTAGGCAAGATAAGGTTAATCGCTATTGTCTTCCAGACTCAGAAGAAAAAGAGCCTCACTACTCTGCTGAACCTGCCTGTGATTCATGAGAGCCAGAAAGAATGTTAAAGAGAAAGAAGATGTTGAGATTGTGAGAGAAGGCAGAGTGGGAGCTTAAGTAGGAGTTTCATGGGCTTGCTGGCACTGAACACTGTAGTACTGATGGGGGAGGTGTTGCTGCAAAAGTCTGACAGCTCTGAGATCTGAAGCTTGTGTTATGTTTCTCTCCCGCCATCCTTTACAACCCCCCCCCCCCAGCGTGCTTTCAGTGGTAGAATGATGCTTTGTTCGTTGAGGAAATGTGCACACCCACATACACACACATACATGCTGGCACATCCACACTCTTTTAACTTGGTAAGGAAGCTAATATCTTTATTCCTATGTTCTCAGGGCCATATATTCCTGGGGTTCTATATTCCCTGACACCTTTATTTTCTCACTGAAATTTGTAGGAAACAGTCCCATGTTTCTAGGACCCTATGTTTGCCTTTGTAATGTTGGAAACATCTCTATATTCCTTCACAGGGTCCTATGTTCCCTCATGGAAAATAGATCCCATATGGACTAAGGTCCACACCTTTAGTATATTTACAAAAGTACATGATGTTACATGTTCTGTGAATAATCTGACATTTCAGTAATAACAAGAATGGAAATCTATTCTGTTTTAAGTAACAATTATATTTGAACATCACAATATTAATAATATGGCCAAAAAATTATTACCAAAATTCATACTAACAGTGGAATCTTTGAGCACATCCTCTACCCTCCATTTAAATACTAACATGCCCTCACATCAACTTGCCCTCACCATTTCCTCTGACCATTCATCTCATGCTTGTTACTTTATTCTGCCAACTTGCTAGTTAGTAAGCTAAGGGCTATGCAACTAACAACAAAAAGAAGGGCGATGCACCACACTTAAACCAGACCAAGCAATTATCCAAAAAAAGTTAATTCTACACTTCAACTTCTGTTTTTATGTTTATATCAGCTGTTTTCATGGCTCATGCTAGCTGATCAAGATTACTGTGCTTTTTCCCATTAGCTATAGCTGCTGTATGGTACCTTACATCAAGTAGCTGATTGGAAGGATCATCGTAGAACTTGCCATTGCACCATGCCAAATATATATATATATATATGCAAACTCAACTAAAGTAGATCTGGCATGGTGCAATGGCAAGTTCTACGTCCTTAACATCTAATTGCATCTTCTCTGAACAACATCTCACTCCTTATATCCTTCCTTCCCACCCTCTTTCCAAATATCCCATCCTGTAAAAAAGAAGTCACAGTTGGTAATTATTAAGGTCATTTGCTTTCGTTGGCAGCGAGGAATAGTTGTCTGGTGCCAAGCTATTTGGAGTATGGGCTACAGTCATTAACAACAACCAATCCAAGGTCACCTGAGCAGACTTTAAATAACATGACTTTGTTATCTGTCATTACATTCAGTAGACCACATTTGGTAATGATTGCTAATGCATGCACTATTGCATAAATTGCCTATGCTGTGTTTTGTACTCACTGGGGAGTGGCCATGTACCTGCCAGAACGAGAATGGGAGATTAAAGAGCATTATGATGTATGAGTGTAATTATGAAATGCCCCCTTGTGCTGGTTTGACTGTCAGCGGTGATAAATTCTCCTACTTTTGAAGGACAAGCACACAGCATCAACTGGAAGAGCTCTATGTAGCCTAGTGCTAGTGCTCTGGCTTGTATTGGCTTTACCTTATGGTTACTATGCTAGTAAAGACAACCATATATCCAATTAAGACCATAGCTGTATATACTGGGCCTAGATTTTAGACCATAGAGGTAAATAGTGTTAATTTCATGGCCTCTTGAGGAAGGAATTTGCAAAAGACATTTGCCATGAATGTGTACTGTAAAGTCTGAGCATTTAGGCTCAGACCATTAGCAGGAGAGAATGGCAACAGTTACGCTAAAGTTTGAAGAAAAGTGCTGTATTTCAATTTGTCCACTCTAGAGGATGTTACCTTATTTCACTTCGAAAATCAACAAAACATGTGTTATGACTAAGGGTGCTTATACATTAGCATACAGCTGTATGTCTTGTTCTCTTCCTCACGCACAAACTCTTTCTTTCTTTGTACAGGTCGTGCTCTGTTGAGGCTGAATGGTGAGAAGTTGGAGCGTATGGGCATCGTGCAGGAGACACTGAGGCAGGAGGTGCTGCAGCAGGTCCTCCAGCTGCAGGTCCGAGAGGAAGTGCGCAATCTACAGCTGCTCAGCAGAGGTGAGGACTTCATTTCATGCTTTGACAGCACAGTAACAAGTTTAAAGCCATGTAATAAGAGTTCATATATGTCTGGTAGAAATTGGATGTTGAATTAAGCCTAGAGCCTACACACTCACTGGTCACTTTATTAGAAACACCTGCACTGTAGCTCCACCTCACTAATCTAGAGTTGTAGACTGCAGCCCATCTGTTACCAAGCACAAATAGTGGTCTCTGTCTTCTAGCTCTTCATCAATGATCAGTTGAGAACTGTTCTTAGCTGGATATTTCTGGGTTTTTGATAATATTTGGGTATTTAATGTTTACAGTACTGAAACTTCTAAAAACAATAACAGAAAAAAATGAACAGCACCTTTTTCTAAACGATTCTGAGCCATATATGCTTTATGTGGGACAGAGTTTGTATTTTTATTTTGTTTAATTTGATTTGTCCATAAGTTGCAGTCGCCGTGTACTGTTAAAGTGAAGCGAATTGCTTCTCTGCCAACTGTTGGTCGCATTGGACGTCTCGCTAAAACACAAGCAGGAGTCGTATGATAGTTCTATGCCCTGAAGTGGCCGAATATTGTTTGGAACAATTAATGTTTCAACACAAAACATAATTATCTCCCTCTCTCATCTACTCTTTTAAACCATTATAATAATCTCCTGCTACATGTGCACAAGTAGCTTTTCTACTGACACATGCTGTTTCTCATGGAAAATCTGATTGATACATGCTCAGCTCTTTTGCACAAAGTTCATCCAGCAAGAAAGGGCAGAGACAGCAGGGTATGCATCAGCTGTGGTTGCTGTGTCGGTTATATGTGTGCAGCTCTGTTTTGTTGCCTCTCTCTAAATAATTCAGATGAGAAAGGAAAAATAACATGATAAGTATGACATCATGGTGTTAATTATGTATATGTTGGTAAAAAATACTTTTTAGCATTTACTTTAGGGGGCAGGAGGTTACTTAGCTGTGGGCTCTAGGTTAGGGAACCAGCCTTGTAACCAGAAGATTGCTGGTTCAATCAGTTTGCTGGTACCTAACCCCTAACTGCTCCCTCTCATTCTCATTTTCTTCTTTTTACACCTCTGTGCTAGTCCAGAAACTGACCAGTGATGAATGACATGAGGATAGCTGCCCATTTGAGCACGGCAGCAGATGTATAATTATACATCTGTATAGTGGAGCTATTAGATATGCAAAGCTCATAAAGTGACCAGTGAGTGGAAGTAGAACCTAGGTGTTTTTAATGAAGTGAATGCTAAGTGTAGATTGCAGCTGCTGATCTTTTTATTTAAACTTTACTTCATTGGTTCATTATAAATTCCATTCTTGGTCTTCTAACAAATTGAATTTAAGGTCCAATTAGTTTTTTTTACTGTGCTCTACAGCAGTTCATCAGGGATATTCATCAGGGATAAGGTGTGCAGTGTGAGGGGCTTCTCAGGCTACAGGTGCTGATACAGCTACAGGCCGTGTTCCTGCTTGAGCAAGTGTCAGACCCCAGTCTGGCCCCTACATTAACAGGAAACAAATTAGAGCCCATTTAAACGCTGTGTCAGGGAATTCTTCTGCTAGGGGGGTAAATTTAATTTAACAGTTCACCACATCTTGGCCTATGCACCGTAATAGAGAAAACTAATTGAGCCGCTCGGTAAAAAGGATGGAACACCTGGGAGTTGTGAGAGGTGGTTGGATGATGAGAGTCCAGACAGGTGGAGGGGTGCTGTAGCTGGTTGTGGGGGTCAAATAAAAGTGCTGTCAGCGTTGATTACTTTGTTCCTGATAGTTGCCATCACCTGTCAGGTTAAGTTAAGCTCAGCGCAGACAGCCTGTCCAGTCTACACTGCTGTAAAGGCCAGCTGATCCCGAGTTTATTCTTAGATGTGCCAGCCTAAGTATTTGTGATGGCCCACCGAGTGGAGATATAAAGAGAGGACCCCTATAGCAGCCTGTCATATTTGATTTAGTTGCCCCAAACTAAAAACATGAAATATTGAGTAGAAAAAGGGTGAGACGAGCTTTTGGAACTGAGAGCTTTTCCTCACCATGGCTTTGCTGCAGAGAGACACAGAACAGAGCTGGGAAGAGAAAGAGAGAGAGAGAGAGATTGTTTGGTGTTGCTCATGTTAATGAGTAAGAGCGTGTGTTTCTGTTTACCCTCCAGCCGTCCTTCAGCCTCAGACACACCTTATGTCACACTTTCAGTCTCTCTTTCTATCTCTCTTCCTCTCCCTTTCTCTCTTCTTCCCCTCCCTCTTCTCTCTGTCTCTATCTCTCTTGCTCTCTCTCCTTCCCACTTTCTGTTTTTCTCCTCATTTCTTTCTTTCTCTCTTTTTCTCACCCCCCTGTCTTTCTGTATTTCTCTCTCTCCCTTTTCTCCCTTTCTTCCCCTCCCTCTTTTCTGCATCTCTTGCTCTCTCCTTCCCACATTGTTTTTCTCTATTTCTCTCTCCCACTTTTTCTCTAATTTTTCTCCTCCCTTTTATCTTTGTCTCAATCTTTCTTGTCCTTTCTCCTTCTTTCCCTCCTTCTTCTTCTCTTTCTTTCTCACCCTCCCTATCCCTCTTTCCCCATTTTTTTCCTTCTTCGTTCCGTTTTTCACTTTCTTTTCATCTCGCTCTGTCCCTTTCTCTCCTTATATCTCTCCCTCCCTTCCCTCTTACTCTCCATCTCTCTATCTGTCTCTCTGCCTTCCCTCTGTCTATCTCTGTCTATCTGTGTACCTTCATTTCTGTACTGTCCTTTTTCTCACTCTCTCTTTCTCTTTCTCTGTCCCTCCCCATCGCTCTTTCTCTCCATCTCTCCACCTTTTTCTATCTCATTTCCTCTGTCTATCTTTCTCTTTCCTTTCTCTTTTCACTCTTCTCATTCTGTCTCTCTTTCTTTCTGTCTTTGTTCTTCATACTAGTTTTCTTTTACTCCCCGTCTCTCTGTGAATCTTTCATCTCCTTTTCTTTTTCCTTCTTTTTTACCCTTTAAGCACCCTTTCTGTCTCTTAATGTTCTTCTTTTCGTATTGTCATTTTTTCTTTCTTTCTTTCTTTCTTTCTTTCTTTGTTTCTTCCTTGTTTGTTTGTCCTCTGAAGTTTCTTGCTGTGTTTTTGCACCGGGGTCGGTGTGTGTGATGGATTTCTGGAGGGTTGTGCAGACAGATGGTGAGATGGTGTTAGGTGGAGGGAAGGAGGAGAGGTAAGAGAGCCAAGAGATAGAAGAGAGAAAAAGTGCTGTCACACTTTTTACAGCTTTTCTATACTAAAACACAAGCCTTTATCAAAACACCATTCTCTAAACCGTGGTCTCTAAGTATGTCAAAATTTTTGAAATTCTTCTTTGATAAGCAAATTAGCTTCTGTCTAACATTCTGCACTGTTATATTTAAGCACCATGAGATGTGTGAGATGTTTAAAGCATTAGAGAAACATAGAAAGCCTACTTACTGCAGCTGTCTAATAGCGCCATGAGGAAATTTATGGAACAGACCCACAGTTTTTGGGGGTGGGGTGCATATATCATGAAATATGTAGAGGGCATGTTGTGTTTTCAAAGAATATAAATAAAATTAGGCGGCACGGTGGCGCAGTGGGTAGCGCTGTCGCCTCACAGCAAGAAGGGCCTGGGTTTGATTCCCGGCCGGGTGACCAGGGTCATTTCTGTGTGGAGTTTGCATGTTCTCCCCGTGTCTGCGTGGGTTTCCTCCGGGTACTCCGGTTTCTTCCCACAGTCCAAAAACATGCAATCAGGCCAACTGGGCATGCTAAAATTGCCCCTAGGTGTGAATGTGTATGTCTGTCTGCCCTGCGATGGACTGGCGACCTGTCCAGGGTGTATCCTGCCTTCTGCCCAATGACAGCTGGGATAGGCTCCAGCACCCCACCGCGACCCAGAAGGATAAGTGGTTTAGATGATGGATGGATGGATAAATAAAATTATTGTCATGAAAAATCAGTAGGTTTTGATGACGAAGAACATGCTAGTCTATAGTGTCTGCTTGAATATTCTACAGTTATGGGCTCATTGTGTTTAGAGGAACATGTCGTCACAACTTTAAACCCATTTTAACACAGCTCATTTTAATGATCTCTAAAGTAAATAACATCTGTACTAGTTCTGCATGTCAAAGCAGATTCTGCCTCTGAGCATATTTCTGGGAATTGGGTTGCAAATATTATTTGTATTCCTCATTGCTGTCTATCATTGCTCTCTGTTTGTGTTACTCATGCATTAACATGCTTCTCCAGTTATTTGAAATTGCTGTATTCTAATGAGTGTACAGGTAGAGCGAAGTCATTCTGCCCTCTACAACCCCCCTCCTCTTCTCCTCCCCTGTTGCATTCACTCTGAAATGTAATTTAACCGAGAGCAGGGCAGATGCTCCCCAAGCCGTCATTGCTATTCGTGCTGAGCCCCAGCCCTTATTACCTCTGCCGCAAATCACTGCCCAAAATGCTACCGTAATAGTCCAGCAACGTTCAAGCACAAAAGCAGAAGAGAAAAAAAGTGTTTACAGATCTCTCTCAACAGACACTTTCTCGTCTGCTGCCTCTTTGTTCAGCTTTACAGAATGCTGCTATTGTGTCCAAACCACCGGCTCTTTTGTTCGCTCGCTTTTGACGCTATTTTGCTTGCTTCTTTTTATTTGAGCACTGAGTTTCCGTGAAAAGGAAAATAGACATTTTTGAATGTGTTTGAATGGTCTCTTCTTTTCTTGTATGAATTTATGGTGCTGTCATGAAACTAACTTCCGCTAAATGTTGCTCTATCTCTGCTCGAAGCTCCATATCATTAAGTTTACTGTTATGGACTCCAAAGTCCAGCTGAAGCCAACTTAAAGCAGTGGTTCAGTGAAAAATCAACAGTTTTTCCCTTACCCTGAATGCAGTCAGTCAGCCAAAACATACTAGGTGGCTGAAGGGTGGATGAAAGTACAGAAAATATTTGGGCTTTAAGATGTCTACTACCACTGTTTTTAGCTATACAATGTATGTTTGTCCATTTTTATAAATAACAGT